TATATATATATACATATAATACTAATATATATATATATATATATATATATATATATATAAACAAAAACAAAATTGACAATGATAATGATAATAATATAAATAATACTGATAATATTAATATTTTGTTATTGATAATATCAATAATGAAGATAATAATATAATAACTACACCTTTAATTAGTAGAATTTAAGAGTGTCAGTGATGATAATGGTGGTGGTAATGATTATAATGAATATCTCAGAACAAAATGAATAATGCATTCCTAATAAGTTTTTTGTTTACTGTGAGTGGTAGGGATAGCAAATGCAATTTTTACATTTGCATCCTTAAATTAATGACGGAATTACGACTAAAACAAATGGAAGGCAAGATGCGTGGTCACTCAAAGAAGATAGCTCGTTTATTATATAAGAACGAGACATAGATGAGCATATAAATCTATCATCATATCAGCTCTCTTTTTTCCAGAAATTGGTTCTCAGTCGTGGATTACAGTTTGCACTGCCTCATCGTACGTCTTGCAGAGACATTCAAGCCAATTTTGAAAAGGCTTATTGGAGAATTGAGCCCAAGCTAGTAAATGATGAATTGAAAGCTCTTACAGCAGCAACACTGAAGTCCATCGCTTTAAATTACATCAAACGTAAGGACCCATTTCCGCCAAGATCGTTAAGACGTGCATTAGAACAATTAAAGAAAAGAGATGACATCATTATTACCAAACCAGACAAAGGTTCAGGGGTAGTTATTATGGATAAACTTCAATACAATAAACTTTTTTGTGAAGCGTCGATCAACAACACCTCTAAGTTTATACCTGTTAGTAACACACAACCTAAAACACGAGGCAGGCCAATCAAACACTATTACCCACTACTAGTGAAAAAGAAACAATTATCTCGCACTGTTCATGATATTCACCCAAAAGAAGTAGCCACCACACTCAGTACAGCAAGAAGCTATCGAGCAACCCATCAGGACTGTTCTACAATTTAAAGATCAAACTTGTTATCTAAACAACTTAAACAGCTTAGCTGTAAGATTAATAATGAAATTATGCCCGTATTCACTAGCAGGAAGATAGGTGAAATCTTGAAATCGAAAGAAAGTAAATCTAAGATTGTTAATGAACAACGCGTTGTTTATAAATTTCAATGTGGCTTGTGCGATGCAAGCTATGTAGGCTACACTTGCCGACACCTTTATCAACGCATTGATGAGCACAGTGAAGGTAACATAGGACAACATTTAAAAGATCATGATATTAGTGCTACTGAACTGTTAATTATTTCAAGGTTTTATCTAAGTGCAAATCCAAGTTTGATTGCTTAATTAAAGAAATGCTTTGGATCAAAGAACTGAAACCTACACTTCAGTCAAAGCCAAACTGTTTATCTAGTTAATCTGCTAAGAAGGGCTAATTACTGCTTAGCTCCACTATAGCTCCACACAGCAGGCCCATGATATGTTAATTAATTACTTACTTCCTGTCACTGCTTGGTATTTTTGTTTTTAGTTTTTTCAATTTACA